CAGATTCTTGGCTTTTAGAGCCAATCTTCATGTAAGGGAAGCTAGATTGTATGTTGTTTGGTTATATGTGTGTTTAGGAACTCATATGGAGTAAGAATGTTGAGAATCATTGATTGATTTGAGGACTTTCTCATTTTTCAGGGTTTTGGGAAAAATGGGATTTTTGATGATTTTGATGCATGGTTGATTTCATGTTGAATTTGAGGTTATTTTTGAGTTGTATGGAGTTGTATAATTACATTGAGATGTATGATGAGTAGAAAGTGAAATGAAGAGATACATGTTGAGTATAGTGTTGTAAACTAAATGAGTAGTTGTGCCAAATAGAAATGTGTTGAATATGTGATATGTTGTTAAAGTTGCTATATGTTATGTGTGGACATTTATATGTTGTGAAATATGATGAGATGATATAGTTGAAAGTTGTGAAGTTCATGATGATAATATTGTGAGTTATGAGAAGCATGACGTGAAGTGTGTAGATGTGTTGAGATTTATATAGATGTTATTAGTAGACTGTGTTGTTAAGTTGTTAGAGGAGAGTTGTATGTTGCTATAAAGTTGTATGTTGTGCCATGTGTTGAAAAGATATTACTTTATGATGATTGACTTGTAAATTATGAGTTGAGCTAATAAGTTGTTGAGTTGAATGTGTTGTTTAAAGTTGAAATGAGTCGATCATTGAGCTGATGAGATGATAACCATGTTGTTTAAGTTGAAAGTTGATTGAGATTATGAGTTAAAAAGTTGTATGTTGTTTAAGTTATTGAGTTGAGCTGTGCTGTTGAGTTGTAAGCTGATTAAGCTGTGATGATGAGTTGTTGATCACTAGGACTAGGGGAGATGTTTTCGAAGTTGCTCATCCCATTATGTGGATTGAGATAGTTGTGGTGCTCTAAGAGTCCAATTTGTTGAAAAACCCTCCTTGGAAAGTTGTCCCTTGGAGTAGACGTTGTGTTGTTCTCCTCTAGGACTTAGTTAATCCCGTGTGTGGGCAAGGTCGAGGCACATGTGCACAAAGCGATCACGATGTAAGGGCCAGGCCGAGCTATACCGATTATAAGCAGCCAATTTGAGTAAAGTACGAAGTCGGGAACTTAGTTCCTAACCGAGTATCAGAAGGTTGTAGTATTTGGAGGATAGTCGGGAGGCTAATCCCATAGGTGGCTTAGTTGAGCTAGCTAATGCCGTGGTAGGCCTAAACCCGGTTGTTCTATCCTGACATAGTACTATACTTCCTTGTTTAAGTGGCAAAGTCTGAGAAACCGTTATCGTGTTGTGGATTGGTATCCAAATTTGTTGTTTACCTAGCAAGCCCAAAAAGGTTTTGCGTTGTCGGTTCGGTAAGACCTAACCACTTAGACTGTTCACCCATGTTGTAGGAGATCTTCGAGTTGAAATGCGTGACGACGCATAAGTTGTTAATGAGTTGATTTGTTGTTGATACGAGTTGTATATATATTGTTGTGTTGTTAAGCTGTGATTGTGTTGTATGTTGACCCTGTTAAGGATGATGATAGTGTTGTTATGTTGTAAGTTGCTTTTAAACATGTGTTGTTGAGAGATGTGTAATACATGTGTTGGTTGTTGTTATGATGAATATGGTAACTATTTCAAATGGTTTGTACAGTAGTTGTGTTGAAGTATTGATCAGTGTTGATATGTTGAATATAAGTTGAAATGATGTTAAGATGTATAGTATATGTGTTGTTTGTCTTCTGTGTCAGATGTGAAGATGATTATATAGTCGTTGTGTTTCATATTTATGAGTTGTTTATTGTCTTTAGCTTACCCTTGCATGTTTCCATGTGGTTTGGACTGCAATGATCATACGTTGTATGGGAGCAGGAAAGAGAAAGGCTGGGAGATAGTTGCTAGAGGCCACAGGAGGTGCCTGGAGATGGATTTTTTTTTGTAGGCTACCTTATAGTAGCATATTTTGTTGTATATAACTGGTTTCTGTTGGTTGCTTGATTAGAAACTTGTGTTGTAAATATTTTATTATACTATTTTAGTATATATATTCCAATAGTGTGTAGTGTTGTTTCGTAGTGTGACGGCCACAGCGGGTCGTTACACCAAAATTTGATAGAATTAAAATAAAAATAACTAAAATTAAGAGGATTAAAATAGAAATAACTATACTTAAGAGGAGTAAAATTAAAATAATATTATTTTAATTATACTAAACTTCTATTTAAGCTAAAAAAAATTTAAAAAAAAAACCTTAATTTGCATTTATACAAAGCAAAAACAAAATAGAGACAAACTAAAAAAATTAAACCTTAAACATAAAACTTCAATAGATAAAAAAATCTTGGATTCCTCGTAATATACGTTTTTATGTTAACAAAATTGAATGTTTTTGTTAAAAAAAAAGATTTTTAGATCATATAAAAAGACAAAATTAAATAGACGATTGGTTACAATGAGTTGTAGTCTTTCAAAAGAATCATTTCGTTTGTCTAAGACGAATATGTTAAATATATATCATTTATGATGTTTGATAGTCAAATCATTTTTTGTCTATGTTATTCTTTAATAGATCAAAGGATTAAAAGCTTTTGTGATACTTGAACATCAAAAGGGAACGAAGATTTGCTTTTTGTTAGAGGAAGGACAAGAAAATATCTCAAAGTATGTGAAGTCTTAGATAATATCTTTTTTAAATGACTCACACAACAACTTCTGCCATTTTGTACTTTAAAAGTATAATTAGTCTCTTTGATCAGATAAAATATGACAATTTAATAAAATGTATTTAATGTACCAATGGACATTTGATTCTAAAAGGAAGGTAGATGTAAAAAGATGAAGTAAGCTTGTGAGAGAAGTTGAAAGATTTTCAATGGTCATCTTCTTAAAGCGCGCGCACGCACACACATATATATATATAGAAGCTTGAAGACTGAAAAAGAAAAATAGAGAACAATTGTATAAATTCATTCATTCTTTCCATAAATCTCTAAAATTAAATTAGTTGTATCACATCTTCTAAGTAAGATGGAACAACAAATGATTTTTCATCTTAAACTTTGTGTTATAGCTTGAAGCCTAAAAAAGTTTTATTGTAAAAAATACTTGGTTGTTGAAGTCTATAGTGGTTTCATTGTTCAAAAATACTTGGATAGTTGTTTAAAGAGACAAATTAAAGAATATTTAAGTTGAATTAAAAATAACTTGTAAAAAAATACTTATATCTTTCCAAAGATAATGAACTATTGATTTGATAAAAAAATTGAACATAATCTTAATATAAAAATATTATTGTTCTTTGCTTTTAACTCTTTGTCTGCATTCTTAAGATATTATATTACTTTATTATTCCAAAAAGTGTTGAATTTTTTATTAATATTATTCAACTTCTTTTTAACACCTTTTTTTTTTCTCTACAATATTTATAACCTTCATGTTATGAATAAAATATATAAAATGGAGGATAACAAAAACAAAATATTTAATATAATAAAAATATCAAAATAAATGATAATTCAAGAGCATGAAATAATAAAAAAATAATTTTTTTAATATAATCTATAAGACTTGTCGTGTAAATTTTTCTTTATACCATTTTGTTCATTTTTTATGTAATAAATTATTATACGCTATAAATAGTCCCATTAAATGGGATTGATTTGACAATCAGCAAACAAAGTATTAATTTTAATGAAAATAAATATTTCAAAACATGATTCCAAATTTGATTTCAAAACATGATTCCAAATTTGATTTCAAAACGTATATCATTGCTCAATAATTCAATAATGTATAGACCAACAACACCGAATAAAAAATTATATTACAAACCGACAGATTGTCGCTAATTGCTATTTATAATAGTAATAACTTACCTTTCGGTCAAGTCGATAGCAGCATTTCAGCTTCTTCATCATTAAATCTTGATTTTAGTCTTCATATCTATTTTTATTTTTATTTATTTAAAATTTTTATAAAATTAATAGATTTTGATTTGATTTATAAAATAGTTTTTTATCTTTATAAAATTATTATTTATAATTAATAATAATAATTTTAAGATAAATAAATAACATTTATTTTAAAGATTATAAAAAATTTAGTAGTACTATACATTAAAATAATGTCATTAATAATTACGAGTAATATTTTAAATAATCACTTATTTTTTTAAAATAAAAACATAAATAATTAAAGATAATTATATAACTTAATCAATAAAGCAGTTTTAAATTTTAGAAAAATAAAAAATTATATAAACTAAATTTAAAACTTGCTTAATTTATAATAATTAAAAATATATTTAAGTATTTAGCAATGCATAATGGTATCCTGAGAGTTTTGGATAATATGATAATTAGATTTAGACTAGATAAATAATTAAAAAAAAATATTCACGAAGAGGAGAATTATTCGTTAATGTTTTATTTAATATGAGAAAAACTCAAAAAAGAAAAAAACAATTATGTTGCTTAACAATTCTTTTTCTCTTTTATTCATATAGAGAGAGAGATCGAACACAAGTCTACTAATTAAAAAACTGTACTTACTACTATATATAGTCTACTAATGAAAAAACTATATACTTACTACTATATATATACTTTCACGAACGAAAACACCCTATTATTAATAAATATTGCTATTAATACTGTAGAAATAAAAAAAATAAAAATAAATTCGTTGATATAAGAAAGTGGTATGTATTAATTATTATATATTACTACGTATGGTATTATACTATTATTTCCTACAGTGTATCACGATCAAATCCTTTCTTAGGAGAAAATAAAATATCATTATTGAAAAGAACTAATATATTAACCATTCGCTCACCATTATAGAGTTGACATATTAACCGTTCAAATTTTCAACAAAATTTTGACCGAAAACACGTCTGAATTAATTATGATTAACGTTTATATTTTTTTTAATTATAAAATATAAATTTTAATTAAAAAGAAAAAAAAAGCTTTCTAAGGATCATTCGGAGGACAGCATTAATAAATGACAAACAAAAGTCCTTAAAAAGAAAAGGAAATCTATTTCGCGGTACAAACATGGCTCCCCATTTACAGAAACCCGACAGATTCAACAATGAGAAAGTTATTAAGCATTCAATTAATCAAACGCAATTAAAAAAAAAAAAAACAAAAAACAGAAACAAAAACCCAGAAACAAAAGGGTAAACTGAATCACTTAAGTACCTCAGGATAGATCTTGAGATAGCATCAATGACACGAACCACTTCTAACAATGTTGTTGATCCGCAAATTTAGTACACTTGTCACCTTCATCCATGAGATGTCGTCAATCCAAAGTCATTCTAATGGATTTTGGCATTACAACAAAATATTGGTCTCTGATTCTGAATGCCCCGACTAATCATTCCAGCAAGGACTCAAGTCCTTGATTGAAAAGACGAGAAAACTCCTCCATTTGATCCTTGGTCAACGCCAACCCAATCTCAATCCCTCCTTGATCTCTACACTCCGAAAGCGAAAACGCCCCCGTTTTATCGATCGAAGTAACATCCACCTTCTTAGGCCTCCCAAACCCAAAATCAATCCCATAAACCTCAAACCTCGGAGACCCCGCAACCGAAAACAACCTATCACCAAGCACACCCTGAATCTTCTTCATCCAATTTTCAGCATCATGCAACGCCCCACTCTCCTCCAACCCTCGCAAAACCTCACTTATCCCTTCAACGCCCTTCACAAACCCATCCTCCCCCAATAACTCACTCTTCTCCACCACCACCATCTTCGGCACCACACAGTTCCCGAAATACGTTTCCGATATAACCGCATCCAAACGCCCCCTACAATCCACCGTGATCACAAACGCCGCTTTGTCTCTCTTCGGCGTGTCCACCTTAACCGCGCACGCCAAAACATAACCACACGTGACGGAAAACGATGTTACCTTAACCTTCTTTCCGACAACCTTAGACTCCGCTAACTTCTTCAGCTTTTGGATATGCGAGGGCCCCAACTCGAAAAACCCTTTCACGACGTCGTTTTGCACCCCGTCCAGCGACCCCCACGCTTTCAAGCTTCGGTTGTTGGCTTCTCCGCCGAAGTTCAACCACGAGTTGGCGTAGGCCTCACCGATCCCCGAAGGGTCACGGATCATAGACCTGTCAAACGAGGGTGTGAGATGTTTCGGTAGTGAAGGAGGGTTTTGAAGGTGAGAATGAGAACAAAGGTGTGCCCATGCTTTCAAGAACAAGGTGGAGGATTTTCCGTCGAGGACTGCGTGGTGTGTGGTTATGCCGAGGCAAAAGCCTTGGTTTGGGAAGAGGGTGACTTGAAGGGCTAAGACCGAGGCTTGCTCGTGGGAAGAGGTTAAGTGGGGTACGAAACGTTGTCGTTGGGATGCTTCACAGAGGTTGGAAGAGAGGGTGTTGAAGCATGCGTGGGATTGGGTTACTGTGAGGGGGACGGTGTTGCCGGGGACGTAGGTGATGAGGGGTAAGGGTGAGCTTTGTGGCCATGTGATGGTGCCGGCGAGAGTGGGGAAGTGGTGGAGAGTGAGGGAAAGAGAGGCTTTGAGGTT